AGATGAAATGGGCAAATTCCTAGAAAAATACAACTTATCAAAACTGACACAAGAGGAAATAGTAAATATGAATAGTACTATATATATTAAAGTGAATTTGTAATTAAGGACTTTAAACAAACACCAGGCTCAGATGGCTTCACTGGTAAATGCTACCATATATTTAAGGAAGAAGAAATGTCAGTCCACATAAAATAAATTCCACAGAATAGAAAAGAATAACATTTCCCAGCTCCTTTAATGAAGATACCATACCCTTCCAAAATCTGACAAAGACGTTACAAGAAAAGTCAATTATAAATCAGTATCTCTCATGACTATGAATGCAAAATTCTTAAACAAATCTTACTAAATTGAATTTAGCAATATATTAAAAAGGAGAGTGGGGTGCTGGGGGGGTTTAGTCAGTTAAGCATCCAACTCTTGGTTTTGGCTTGGCCCATGATCTCAGGGTTGTGAGATCCAGCCCCATGCTGGGTGTGGAGACTGCTTAGGATTCTCTCTCTTCCTCTCCCTCTGCCCCTCCCTTCTCCACTTGTGCACACGCTCTCTCTTTAAAAAAAAAAAAAAAAAGGATAATACATCATAGCCAAGATTAATGTTAGTTCAGGAATGTGAAGTAGGTTTAGTATTTTTAAATCAGTCAGTAGGATTCATGACATAACAGAATAAAGGAGAAAATTCATAAGACATCTTTATTTTTTTTTAAAGATTTTATTTATTTATTCACTAGAGACACACACACAGAGAGAGAGAGAGAGAGGCAGAGACACAGGTATAGGGAGAAGCAGGCTCCTCACAGGGAGCCCGATGTGGGACTCGATCCCAGGTCCCCAGGATCATGCCCTGGGCTGAAGGTGGTGCTAAACCACTGCGCCACACCCGGGCTGCCCACAACAATCTTAATAGACACAGAAAAGCCATATGATAAAATGAAAAGCCTACTCATGATGCAAGAGGAGGAACAACCATTAGAAAATGTGTAACATAAGGGGACTTCACTAATATGATATTTCTATAAAATGTTATAGCAAATCCATACTAAGTGTTAAAGCACTGAAACCCTTTTCCCTGAGGTCTGGAATGATACATGTATGCCCATTACTTCCACTGCTATTTAGTAGATGTCCCAGCTGGTGCAGTAAGGCAAGAACAACAAATGGTTGGAAAGGAAGAAATAAAATGACATGGCATGATTGTATGTAGAAAATCCAAAAGAATATAGAGATAAACTAGTATGATTAGTAAGCAAGATCACCATGTTCACTGGATACAAAGTCAACATACAAATATTGATTTTTATCTGGATGCTAAAACTAGTGGGTAAAAGTTTTTTTTTTTTTGTATTTTTTTTATTGGAGTTCAGTTTGCCAACATATAGTATAACACCTGTGCTCATCCCATCAAGTGCCCGCCTCAATGCCTGTCACCTAGTCACCCCATCCCCCTGCCCACCTCCCCTTCCACTACCCCTTGTTTGTTTCTAGTGGGTAAAAGTTTAAGAAATAAATAACAGAATATTTATACAGTCTCAATGTGTCTCCCCATAAAATATTTTTTTTTTAATTTTTATTTATTTACGATAGTCACACACAGAGAGAGAGGCAGAGACACAGGCAGAGGGAGAAGCAGGTTCCATGCACCTGGAGCCCGATGTGGGATTCGATCCCGGGTCTCCAGGATCGCGCCCTGGGCCAAAGGCAGGCGCCAAACCGCTGCGCCACCCAGGGATCCCAATATTTATTAATTACAAAGGATAAAATAATAATTTTACCATGGAGAAACTTGACAGACACCTCCTTTAACCAAGGGATCAAAGTTAAGAGGTGCCTGGCGGGCTCAGTCAGCAGAGCATGTAACTCTTGATTTCAGGGTTGTGGGTTCAAGCTCCACAGTGAGTAAAGAGATTACTTAAAAATAAAAATCTTTTAAAAGTAGATAATTTTAAAAAGAAAAAATGATCAAAGTTAACATTTCCAGTATTTGGACAGATCACTAAAATGAGATTCCTGATCAGAAGCAAAGAAAACACCCTTTCACTTCTTTGGTATTACTGCCATAACACATAATCTGAATCTGTTCATGGGAAAGCATCAGCCAAACCCAAACTGAGGTACATTCTAGAAAATACCTGACCAGTGTTCTTCAAAGATGCCAGTCATGAATGACAAGGAAATATTAAGGAAATATTCTAGATTAAAAGGAGACTACAGAGACGCAAGTGAACACAACAAATAATCAAGGTTTTCTTTTTCTTTGTATAAAGGACATTATTGGGACAATTGGCAGAATCTGAACAAGGTGTAAATTAGATAGCCATGAAAGTTTAATATTTCCTGGTTCTGATTGTGATTTATGTAAGAGAATTTTCTTGTTTTTAGGAAATACCCACTGAAGTATAGGGATAAAGGTGAATGATGTCTGCAACTTATTAAGCAGTTCAGAAAAAAAATGCATAAAGAAAAAGAAAAGGATAAAGCAAATATGGTAAAATGTTAACATTTGGGGAATCTAGATGAAGGATATATGGGAATTCTTTATAGTATTCTTGCAACTTTTCCCAGAAATTATGTCAAAATAAAAAATTAAAAGGAAAACAAGTATCATTTACAGTAGTGTCAAAAAAATCAGATGTCTATGAATAAAATAGTGAAAGATACACAAGAACTCTACACAGAAAGCTCCAAAACATTAAGACCTAATAAGTGGAAGAGTATACCATGTTCATGGATGGAAGACTCAATACTTTAAAGATATCATCTCTCCCCAAACTGTGATATGTATATTCAGTGCAATTCCAATTAAAGCCCAGTATGGGTGTGTAAGTGTATGAACTGATAAAGCTGATTTAAAAATTTTAGGCTGAAAAAAAAAAATAAATAAAATAAAAATTTTAGGCTGAATGCAAAATACCAATATTAACTAAAAGAATCATAGAAATATTGGATGACTTACACTACAAGATATTAAAATTTCTTACAAAGTTACAGTAATTATGACTACTTAGAATCAGTGCAAGGTGGGACACTACCATAGAATGGTGGGACACAACAGTCCAGCAATAGGCCCAGACAAAAAGTTACTCATTTATGATAACAGCAATAAGGTAAATACAGTAGAGAGAGGATAGTCTTTTTAATAAATATATAATTAGCTAAATATCCATATGGGAAAAAAATAATATTGACCCCTACTTGCCACCATCAGCAAAAAAATAAATAATAATCCAGGGAATTATAGACCTTACTGTAAAGGTAAAAGAGTTGCACTTCTTTAAGATATGATAGAATATCTTCATGACCTTGAGGCTGGCAAAGATTTCCTAAATAGAATATAGTATTAACTATAAAGGAAAAGATAGATACACTTGAATACATTAAAATTCAAGACTTTTTGTCTATAAGATTCACACCAGAAGACATTTGCAGTATAAAGCACACCAAAAAAAAAAAAAAACTTCTATCAATTATATACAGAACTCCTACAAATCTGTAAGAAAAAGATAATAGAAAATTGATGAAAAGACCTGAACAGGTACTTCAAAAGATATTTAAATGGCTAAGAAGTATAAAGGTACTCACCTACTCACCTCATTAGCCACCAAGGAAATGTAAATTAAACCCACCATGACATGCTAGTATACATCTACCCACATGTCCTAAAAGGATATAGAGGCCTTATATATTCCTGTAGGAATATAAATTGATATAACCACTTTGGAAAACAGTAAGAATTTGCTAAAACTGATTGTACTTACACTGTGGGGCCCAGTAATTCAACCCTCGGTATATACTAGGCAGAAATATGTGTGTGTGTGTGTATGTATGTATATATGAAACAAAAGGTGCATAGAGGAACGTTCATTGCACTGTTCATAAGAGCTAAAAAAGTTAAGCAGTGTCCATCAACAGAATAAATACATTGTGGTATATTAATTCAGTGGAATACTATATAGTAGTATAAATGAATGAACTACTGCAATGTATAAAAAATGTAGTGAAATCTCAAAAACATGATTGAAAGGAACTGGAAAGGAGTCTACAGTGTGATTTCATTTTTGTAAAACTCAGTAAAAGGTAAAATATCCACAGTATCCTAAGTCAGGATTGTGGTCACCTTTGGGAAGGGAGTAGAGATTGACTTGAACGACAGAAGAGCCTTTTGAAGTGCTGCTAATGCTCTCTATCCTGGTCTATATGACAGTTACACAGTTGTGTCCATATAGTGATGATTCATGAAGGCTTATAGCGTTCTTTTCTGTGTACATGTTTATGGTAGGCAGCCTCTGAGATGGCTCCCACTAATCCCATCATCTTGATATTCACACCTTTTTCTTGTATCCTCTGCCTCCCCTCCCCCGAGCTGGTGCTGGACATTTTGACTTAATTCTAACAAACAGAAATGTGGCAGAAGAGATGTCACTTCCAAGATTGGGTTATTAAAGGGCTGTGGCATCTATGTCAGATGCCCATCTTACTCTCTCTTTGCTGGCTCACCCTGAGGGATGCCAGTCTCCATGTCAGGAGGTAGTCTTAAAAAAAAGAAAAGGTCACGTTTGGAAGACTGAGCCCTCCCAACAGCCACGTTGAGTGAGCTTGGAAGGAGATTTCCCCACCAGAACCAGTTAAGCCTTTAGATGAAACTCTAGCACCAGCCATTTTAACAATTCAGAAGAAGCTTTGACCCAGAGACACCAAGCTCAGTTCCACTTGGATTCTTGACCCATGATGAACAATGAGGTATTAAATGTGCATAGTTTTAAGTTGCCAATGTTTTTTTTGTGCAACGATAATAGTGTTTATTACTTTTAGAAACTTTCCTTAAATACAGCTTCTATCAGTGAAAGATCTTTCAATGTGTAAATCCATATTCAGTTGGAAAAATTGTAAAGGATTTTTACAGTGACTCTTGATGCCAAGTATTTTCAAAGCTGTATGCCAATATTGAATTTTCAGTAAGTAAGTTCAGAATGTAAATCACTCTTCTATTTTGTTTTTCAGGTTTGTCACTTTAACTTTGTCTCTGATAATTGATCGTATTTTTTTTGGTCAAGTAAGTAAAAATATATTAAGCTAACAAATATTCTTAATCTAACCATTTATTATACTAAAAACTCAACCTGACTTACTAATCAATGAGTATTTGGGAACACGGGCAAATAACTTTTTAAAAATGTTATGAGATGTGTAAAAAAAAAAAAAAAAAAAAAAAAAAAAACTATTGGCATTTGCCTTTCATTCAATTTGCTGTTTTCCATAAAATAGAATTGCGTATTCCTAGTTGCAGTTAAAAGGATTCTATTTTATGGCATTGTTGTCAAGTTTGCATTATTTAGTCAGGTTTGTAACGATAAAGATTAAATTTTTAAATAATCTTAATTGGCCTCAAGTTAATCATCCAGAACTTCAAACAATCACAATACTCCTCTTCAAGCATTTTATTTGCATTTTATTTCACATTATAATGTCATGACTGTTGGTAAGTTGTTTTTAAGTTCCCTGATTTTAAGTCACTTAGAGGCTTTGGAATCAGATTACCACAATTTGAAACCTAGTGCCCTCATTATTAGCTATGTGACCTTGGGTAAGTTATGTACCTTTCTTGCCAGTTTCCTTAACTAGAAATAACTGGTACCTGTTTTATAAAGTTGAAGATTAGGTGAGATAATGCATGTAAATGCTTACACTAGTGCCTGGCAGACATGAGCATTTCCTGTTAACTGCTGTTATTGCTGTTATCTTGTGCTACAATTCAAAAGGTGATGTTTTCAAAACTTTATCTTAATGTGTGATATCATAAGGTACTAAAGTTTTTAACATGGGTAACACGCATACTCATGTAAAAAACTATCTTTGAGGATCTTATCTCTTATTGTATGTGTAATTTACATTGTTAAAATATATGTTTATTCATGCTTTCTTGAATTGCAGAAACCTAGATTTTTTTATATATTAGCAGAACACATTAAAACTTAGAATATTAAAATGAATGATTTCATGTGGTCATTAATCAAAATTATTTAAAGCATTATTTGGTTTTTAGAGTTCATTCAAGATTCTGCCAAATTCCCTAATCCCAAAGATTCATACTTGGCACTAACACATTTCTATTTCTTTCTATCAACTATGCCAGTGGACCTTGGTTCAGTATAACTTTTTGAAATTTAACGTGCTGCAGAATTTGGGAACATTTTACGGTTCTCATCCATGGCATTGGTACTTCAGTCAAGGATTTCCGGCTGTCTTGGGTACTCACTTACCCTTCTTTATTCATGGCTGCTTTCTGGCCCCAAAGAGGTACCGAATACTTTTGGTAACTGTGCTGTGGACACTGCTAATTTATAGGTAAGATTTTATTTGTCCAAATCATTAAATTTTTTAATGTTACCAAGAATTTAAATTCTTCAAAAAAATAAACTGTTTCTCTTCTGCAAATGTATAAACTCCAATGATTTGTTAGTGGGGATTATTTAGCAGACAGAAAAAGTAATAATTAGGTTGATGCTCAGAATGAATACTTCTGATATGTACAGTTCGCTTCACAAGGAATACAATTTTTAAGAAGTTGAAAAAACTGTGTTTGGTTTTAAAAACTGAAACTACCACAATTTTGAGTATTGAAGAACCAGAGAAATTACATTTTTTAATGAAAATGTGTATGTATATATATTATTCCAAATTTTGAGTAATATGACTTAATTGGATTGGTAATAGAAATCTTTAGAATGTAATTGTACTTTACAACTTCACATTGACATCAAATGTTAGGATTAGGATTACTTTTAACATATCATTACTTTATAACTAAAAAATAATGAGACTACATCCTGAATCATGAAATTCAGTCTCAGTATTTAGAAAACTAGATTATATTTTCAATATATTTATTTCTCCAACTATCATGTAATATGGAAAAATAATATTTTCTCTTAATATCTTTTTTTATTATAGCATGTTGAGCCACAAAGAATTCAGGTTTATCTATCCAGTTTTACCATTTTGTATGGTGTTTTGTGGTAAGTATTTTTGTTTAACAGAAAAAGTTGAGAAATAGATAATAGAGAAATAGACAATATAGAAATAGGATGATAAATTTTCCTTAAACACTAAAATACTTTTCAATTACTAAATGAGAAATGCTTCTTAATTACAAGCTATATTACTGCAGTATTCCTTTTGCAGCCCAAATATACTTTTTTCTGTGTCCTATAATGTGATATAAAAACATAAGGATTTAATATCCAAAGGACCTTTGGGTGGTGATGTTTCTGGCTAGTAGGTATCTTTCATTATAAAGTAAGGAAATTTGTCTATTTTAGAATGGCATTTTAAGTTTATGATTAAACTATGAAATTCTTCAGTCCACAAATATATTTATTGCTGTTGAGACTTTTTAATGCTTCTTCATGCCCATCTGCCCCCTTTAAGACTCATTCTAATGCATATGCAGTTTTTAAAGTGATCCCCATGCCTGATTTTATTTTTGGCCTTTTCTCCATTTTTTCTCTAGGTCTTTTGCAGTAATTTTTTTACATGTGACTTCTACAAAGTCTTATATTACTCAGCTCTGGAAAATGTGAATTTTTACATTGGTTGGTTTGGGAAAACTATGAATTGAAACTTTATTAACTTCGGGCTAATAACAGTCATAATAAATGACTGTTGGCTTCCCTCAAATATTAATCACTTAAAAAAAAATCACGGGACTGAGGAGGGAAGAAATAAGTATACAACTGAGTTTGGAAGCTGGGAAAAACTAGAGTTAATGGTATCAAACTTTTTATACTTAAAAACAAACACAAAAAAACTCAAAGTTAAGCAGCCACCTTTGACCAAGTATACATCATCTACAAATCTCAGATGTATGTACTCTCTCCAATTGATATACAAACATTATATAAGAACACATATATAATTGATGTATGTATATACACACACACCCATATACATCTAAATATTTGATACATCCGAAGTACTGAAACTAGAGTTCATTTTTGCCACTACTTTATAGTCTCACTTCATATACAGATGCAGGCACAAAATATAGGCATCTAACAGCTATTTGGCAAGTCATAAGAATAGTGGGCCCGTCACCAAAGCAAACCTGCAAATCTGTACATGAATCACTGTTCAGAGTTAAAATTCTTCTTTACAACCTCCTGAATTGGAATTAGAGTTATAATTAAATCAAGTTTGGTTTCTGCCCAGATGTGTTGCCATACTGGAGGACAAATATTTGTGTGTTGTTTTGATAGTTTAGGAACTTGGTTTCATTCCATTTTTATAATTTGAGGTTTTCTAGCAATCCACTTCTGTGCCATGTCTTTATAGTGTTTTAGAGAAAGACTAGGTTTTCTGAATCCTCATTCTCAGTCCAAAAGAATGAATCTTAAGTGGCAGGTTTCTGGTAACCTGTTTCCAATCCCAAAGATTGAGATAAAATGTTGATGAGGGTTGAAGATGATCCCTAATGAACAAGAATCAGCCTTTGTTCCGTCCTTTGTCCACTCACAAGGATCTTTAAAGGACTGAGAACTAGCAAAACCCCTCATCTCAGAGGATATGATGCCTCCTCTGGATACATATACCTAAGGTCCTTGAATTGAACCTGAAGATTCTAATTCCTAGGAGACTTGTTCTCCCACTAAGAGTCAGCAGTGAGCTCACCTGGACATCAGTCTTTGGATGATCAGGAACAGCGTCAGACAGGTGTCCTCTTGGAGTTGTTTTAAATGGCTTGTTGGTCTTTTCTAACTACATAAAATCTTGAGTTTTACTGTACCTCCAATCTTTTTTGTGACCAATTGTAACCTGATTTTTATATAAACATGACAACTCTCAATCAGCAATTGCTGTGCGACAACCACCTTAAGACCCCATGGCTTAAAACTTTATTATTGTCTGTGGTTTGGCTCACTGTCACTTCCACCACAGTTTCTTGGACAAAGCAAGTCACAAAGCCAGGCAGATTCAAGAGAGAAACTTCCGGCTCAGGTTGGGATTAGACACACAAAGAGGGATAACTGCAGCCAGGTTTTCAGACTATAGTAACTTCTCTTGCCTAATCTGAATTTCCAGCTCTATCCAGAATAGGACTAACTCTGGAAAACACACCTTCTGTAACTGGCTCTGATCCTTAGTGAACTGTATAATCTTGTGCCTCCATTTCCTTATCTGTAAAGGAAGGTGCCATTGGTCTAATAACATTGAAATTTTTAGTTGAATCTCTTGTCATTTGAGGTTTCCAACACCTACTAACTCTAGGTTGGGTATCTGCTTCATCTGTTTTACCACAGAAGCCAATACAGACTTGCTTGTCTCTGATTAGAACACTTTCTCCATAAGCTAATTGTCTTATCAAAACTGCACATACATGTTTCAAAAGCCATTCCATTAACTTGTTTTAAAAAACAATGGTTTCTCTCCTCCTTCCCCATTCCCCTCCTCAGGGACATTTTCACTCTTTCAGGTGGTTATTTGGATATTTATCTCTTGACATAAAATGCTGATAATGCCTTTCACCATCTTTGGTTTTGGCACTACTTAGGACTTCTATGAAAATAGTTTTATTTCCTTAGCAAAGTAGCAATGTAAAATTCTCCCGATACCTCTGTGCCCAATATTCTCCTTATTGTTCTTAATAAAGCCTCTCTTGAAAAAAAAGATAAAAATTAAAAAATAAAGTCTCTTTCCCAGGCCCATTCTCTTGTATTTTCCATCACAGAATTAAACCACTCTTTGTTTCTTTCATGCAAACAGTGAATTTAAGTTAACCAAACAGCCTTCCCAGAGAAACATCTCTGGTTAGTAGAACTTGGTCGAGATCATTTTCTTGGGCGTTTAGATCAGAGTTTCTGTTTAGTCTTGCCAAAACATGGGTGCATCCTTCCTACCCCTGTGTTTGATGAGATCAGCAACGTACAGCCCTTAACTTCTCCATTACAATGAACCTTACCTTGGTAAGAAGGAACTGGTATCATTGCTTAAGAATACAGACTGTAACACTTAAATATCCGTAACTTAAAAAATAACTGTATATCAAGATAAATCATAGGATGATTAGGAGATATGGCTGAGTAAAGAACGAACCAACTCATATAGGGCCTTCTTACATACTCAAGTTTTTAGATTTTATCCTGAAGAGTAGTCAGTTGGGACATAATGGACTTACAACTTTTAATATTAGTCTGATGATAGTGATTAAGAGTCCAATATGCTTATTATAAACTCATGGTACAAAAAGAAAAAAAACCCTATAGTGCCATCCTCTAATCATCTAACTCCATTTCCCAGAGATAATTATCAGTCTTATAAATTCTTACAACTTCTTTTATGTATCTTTTTGTTGGCATAAATAACAGGAGCAAATTCAATATTCTGGGATGTTATTTAGCCCTGAGTTAGAGTTACTATGGTAGCAGGCCCTTATTCACTACTCACTTTCCACAGTTTTCAGTAACCTGCGGTCAGCCGCGGTCAAGAAGCAGATGATCCCCTTTCTGACCTAGCTTCAGGTCAGTAGTAGCCTAACGCTATGTCACAATGCCTGCGTCATTCACCGTACTTCATTTCATCCCATAGGCATTTTACCATCTCACATCATCACAAGGAAGATGGCTACAGTACAATAAGAAATTTTGTGACCACATCCATATAACTTTCATTACAGTGTACTGTTACAATTATGTATTTTACTAATGTTATTAACCTTGTACCATGCCTAATTTGTAAGTTAAACTTCATCACAGGAGTATAGGAAAAGAGTAAGGGTTCTGTACTATCGGCAGTTTTAGGCATCCACGGAGGGGTCTTGGAATGGATCCCCCACAGAGAAGGGGGGAACTACTGTTCAGACAGTAAGTTTTTATTCTCATGGAAATTACATGAGAGGCTGAAGGATTTCTGTAAGTGGTTTACAGAAGCAAGCTTGTATTTGCAGAATCTTCAAGTAATTGGCAGAGGGAGTTTCACATTTCAGGTTAGGTAATGCTTAAGTTACATTGTGCTATCCATCCCATTCTGAAGCTAGCTCATTTTAGGGTGGATCTTTTCAGTGAGAAGGGTGTGTGCATATGATTTGTACATACAATTACACAGACTTACTGGATGGCAGCTACTAGGATCATGTTACCTTTTGTGAATACTGAAGAAACCATACTGCTTCCCTGTAAGAAAACCATGAATCTTAAGCTTCTCTTGTGGTGCAGACTAAGCACTGCAGCTGTAATGTATTTCCAGCTCTCCATTTAACAACTCCAGTTTTTGAAATCTGGTAATGTTGGTAATGTTCAGTGTCAGATAGTTTGAAAACCCTGGAAGTATTCAAATTCAAGTCTATTCAACTGTTCCTTCTTCCCTTCTCTTCCCAGCATTTTCTATATATTTTTTCCCCAAAGAGGGAGATTCAGTTCTCTCTGAAAGGATCCATCCTAATATCACCACAAAGAAAATATAAGCATTACCTAATTTAAGACTCTTCTCTTTACTGAAGCTGCTGGAAATACAAGCACATTTTCTTCCAGCATTCTACCCACAATGCCTTTTTTACAGCATTCACCGCCATGTACTCCAGTTTTATTATCACCCATTCTATTGTGTCCCTAATGCCAGCTTCTGAAAAGCTTTCAAGGAGTATTTAGTGAGTGAACAAACTATTGATGAGTGAACATTTCATAATGCCCACGTTATGCTTCATTTGAATATTCCTGAGGGTAAGTTGTCTTCTAAAATGCCTTGCTAAGGGTAGGCTTTAATGTAGCTTTTTATAATCTGAGGCCACTAAGTATATTTAGCTTTTACTTCTCTACCCAACAAAGCATAGCTCCTAAGCTTGCTGGCCTATAGTTCTGTGACTGTAACTATTACAGATAAGAGAAACTTCTGGAATCCTACTTCAATTTAATAAAGTTAATTCTAGTTCTCAAACTTTCAGTAGATTCCACATTTTACCACTGCAAACATAAATCTAGATATGTTTTAATGTAGGTTTAGTTTTCTTGATCTTCTCATTTTTTAATCACACTACTTTTTAGAATATGCTTTGCCTAATCAGCTAGTTCAAGTAGTTGTAAGAGTGAGGGATATATGACATTCCAACTAATAGAATAAATGATAGGTAACCTAAAACATTTCATAGAGGAACAAAATTGAGCATCTAAGATCCCTTGACCAAATTTGGTTCAGCTATCAAATAAGTGGCAGGTATCAGAGATCTTGGAATAACTTCATCTTGGAATAGATATTTTATTATTTTTCCTTTTTTTTTTAAGATTTTATTTATTCATGAGACACACAGAAAGAAAGGCAAAGACATAGGCAAAGGGAGAAGCAGGCTCCCTGCAGGGAGCCCAATGCAGGACTTGATCCCAGAACCCTGGGATCACAGTCTGAGCCGAAGGCTGACACTCAATCACTGAGCCACCCAGGCATGCCTATTTTATTTTCAATTGTTAGATGTTATTTATGTACAATATATTATTTATAATCTTCAAAGCGATGAAAACAGATAAAATCTGTAAAGGCACCCTACCTAATTAAGATACATTTAACTGTACAACAAAATGTACCTTCAGTTTTTCTTAAACTGAATGTTAATACTGTTTTTTTTTTTAATTTATAGAAATGGTTAAGTTGCAAAAATGAGTGCCTTCAGCTAATGTGAAAAGTACCAGATGTGATTCAAGTAAATTACAGGTCTTCATTTACTTGTTTTTGAACAGCCCTTCTGAGGCCAACTTTATGTTAGTGTCTTTAAGTGGCAACTGTTCAAAATTAATTTTATTCATGTTCAATTATTGTCAGTGATTGAGCCAAGCTAAGACAGCTGATAGCAGTCAATTAGGTGATGATCATGGAAAACAGTGCCTTGTCCCCAGCAGGAATTAGTGCTAAAATTGCAGGCAAGCCACAAGACTGGATCCTGGATACCCAAATTCCAAAGAACAATTATCTAATTCCATGGAGACAGTACATGTGGAGTATGAACAAAATGTCAAGTTCATTAATAAGCTTATTCTTTTCCATTGCAAAGGTCTTGTCTTTTATGGGTACTTTCAACAGATTCCTATGTGCTTATTATGAGGGACTATTGCTGGGGAATAGGACTATAGGAAGGGACAGGGGACTTTTAATTTACTCTATTTGTTCTGCTCGGTTTTCTGCTACATGCAAGAATTACTTTTACAAATTAAAAAAAAAATTGTTCAGCATCTCAGAGTTGCCCAACACTATAGTGAAAGATAAGACATACTTTTTCAGAAAAAGATATTCATGCCACCATACACATAGTAACTACTGAAAATCTCCCAGTGGTGTATTTTTTAAGAGGACACACTGCCACACATCCTCCAGAATTACGGAGACTTATATGTACACAATCCATTGCTAGTGTTTGGGAGATTAAAGAGGAGAGATAGGTAAATGAACTTCTGTGTAACAGGACAAGCACTGGACAAAATACTGCTGGAAAAGTTACTGTTTCCCCATTTGCAGATGGGGGAAATAATGCTCAGCAAAGTAAAACAATTTGTGCCAGAATTAGAATTCAAATCTGGGTCTGCTGGAATCCCTAGCCATAGTTTTCACTATCCCTCCTTTTTTCTAGAAAAAGCTAAAGACCTGAGGACAATGAGAGTGAATAGTTGGAGAAATTATAAAGATGACCTACTGCTTATTTCTTGTTTTTCCATGACACCATTTCAGTCTGTGCTACTTCCATTAAAAACTACAAATGTATTTGCAGTTAACATTGGCTTAGCTATCCTAAAACAAGAATGTCAAGTATTACAGTTCAACATGTCTATCTTCATACAGGGTACTCACTAAACCACCTGAAAACATGGAAGAAACCAGTTCTCAGTTTCCTATTTTTATCGAATATGCTCCTCGCCCTCTATACTGGTTTAGTTCATCAACGAGGTACTCTTGATGTCATGACTCATATTCAAGAACTCTGTTACAATAATCGCAATAAATCTTCAGCTTCAGTATTTATCATGATGCCTTGCCACTCTACTCCTTATTATAGGTAATAAAAGTTGTTCCACTATGTGCTATTAAGAAAATGAAACTACTTTAAAATTCCTTTCAGATTCCTGAATTTAATTAACTGTTCAAATGACGAAGAAATCTGAAACTTCCACTCATATATATTCATTGAATTTTAAAAGCCATTTGAACTATGTCAATGAAAATCATATATATCACTTTTAAATACTGTGTTAATTTAAAAATGTGAATGACTTACATTTAAATGATCCACTTTAAATGTCATAAAATATTTTATAGGTTATTTGAAGGTACCCTTAATAAAAGAAATTGTTATCATTGAACTTTCTACAGATCTTTGTAATACATCTTAAATTCTTATAATTTTGAATCTATCTCAAAACACTAGATTCTAATCCAGATTTAAATACTGGACTGCTGCCCTGGTCTTAAACCAGTTTTTTTTTTTTTTAATCTTTTTTATATTATTAGTTATTTCACCTGTAAAAATTAGGAAATTCAATTAGATACTATTCTAATGCTTGAATTAAGTATTTCTGAGAAATACATCACTAAAACTACCTTAACTATGCAGGACATTTAAAAAGAAATCCATTTGGTCCAATGCTTCCAAATTGCCCAATAACAGTATGAGGGTAAACCAACCATTTTCCTTTAAAAAGTTCTACACCTACTTAACCTGACTTTAATCGATCTGAAGTTGATTTTCCATGTGCACATTCAGTCAACTAAATATCAAAGCTAATGTCATTTTAAGATAATTTAACACTTTTGCAATACTCTACCTTGGTCATTAATGCCAATCACTAATACACAATTTGGAAAAGTTGGGACTGCTGGCAAAAGCCACAGGATATATATAATACCCAAATATCCCTTCAAATTGTGAGGTTCACCTACTATGTAAAAAGAACTGAGAGTGGTACATTCACTGTCCCTCTGGGTTCACATTAGCAATAACACTGCTGAGAATAGGAATTCTAGAGCCAAAAAAAAAAAAAAAAGGAATTCTAGAGCCATCAAGATAGTCTCCATACATGGTTGTAGTTGTTGATGTCTTAGGTTTAGGCTGTAAGTAGTTCACCAAGTTCTCATCTTATGGTTTTTCAAACTGCACAATGGAGAAAAAAAAATTCTCTAATGCTTACTTTGCAGTAGAAGACTTGCAGCTTTTTCTCAGCTTGTTTTATTTTTTTTTCCTGAAGCAAGAGCTTCCTCTTCTAAATCATACAAGTCAAAGTATTAGGGCTTGTGTAAATTTACTTTGAATGCAGTTCATAAATAACATAAACCTCTATCATGTATTTATTCTTCCTGTGGTAGTTACAAACATGGCTTTTGCAGGGCCCAAGTGACTGCCTTAAGTTGTCATAATTCATCAGTCTTTTTTGCATGTATTCTAGTCTATACCACAATAAAACCATTACTTATTTGGATTTTAATCAGTGAACATATGTTGCTCCCTCTTACTAAATCTTAAATAGAGGAACAACAAAAAAAGAAAAAAAAAACACACACACACAGGAACAACTTATTTAAGGATGTGATCCATCCCTTTTCAGAGCAGAAAGGGAAGAGAACAGGAATCCCTTCTGGTTCATGAAGTTTTCTACCTTGCCAATTAAGCCTATAGGGAATTTTACTCTCTTATTAACAAGTCATTCAGCTCATCCCAAAGGCCCCTTCCATTCTTGGAAAAGCATACTAATGTTAGAGAGAATATGGAGTCTCCCACACTGCTATTTCACCTTGAAATGAAGTTTCATGCTTTAATCTGGATGTGAAAAGTTATGTTGCTGCTGCACGGGAGAAAGTACATTAAAGGCTTGCTTCTTCACCTTAATGGGACCTGGTTTAGATTCAGACTTCACATTTTATCATGTGAACATGACAGATCTGGAGACTAATTGGAAAACTTTGACCTTTTTAACTTAACTAAATGGTAACTTTCTCTTTACAGCCATGTCCACTACCCACTTCCCATGAGATTTCTCCAGTGTCCCCCAGACCTGACTGGAAAGAGTCAGTACCTTGATGAAGCAGATATATTCTACCTAAATCCCTTAAACTGGCTATATAAAGAGTTTCACAATGATTCAGCATTGCCTACTCACTTGATCATCTTCAGCATTTTAGAGGAGGTAAGGAAATATGAAAAAAGGGAAAACTCACTATTTCGCCTCTAGTTTAGCTCTCAGGTAAATAGACAGCATAGCTTTTTTATGGTCCCTTTCAACTCCCATTATTTTGTAATTGGCTCTTTTCCCTGGTCAAAATCCATCTCAGTTCTGTAACTGTCAAAATATATGTTACTTACCAGGAGTAAATTCTTTTATTAATAAATTATATTGTTTTGGGGTACCTGGGTGGCACAGTCAGTTAAAATGTTTGATTCTTGGTTTTGGCTTAGGTTAGGATCTCAAGATTGCAATCTCAGAGTCATGAGATTGAGCCCCGAGTCAGGCTCTGTGTTCAGCATGGAGCTGCTTGAGATTCTCTCCCCACCCCTGCTCTGCACCTCTCTACCCACTTGTGCTACCTTTCACTCTCTAAAATTAATTTTAAAAGAAAATATAGTTTTATTAAACAAGTGGTAGAGGCGCCAATCAGGTCATTCTAAAATTTTTGAAACCAGACTCAACAAAATGTAGCCTTTATTTAAACATTTATTTACTTATAGGAAATAAGTGCTTTCCTAATTGCAAGCAACTATGAGAGAACTGCTGTGTTCTTCCACACTCACTTGCCAGAAGGTCGAACTGGAAGTCACATATATGTCTACGAACGGAAATTAAAAGGGACACTCAACAGAAGATGAAATTCTGAATTGTGTTTAAATCTTTCCTGAAGAAATAGACATTGTTGGGTACAAATATTCAGATGCTGCATAAATATGCCTGTAAGCACTGAGTAAGATTCATGGATCTAGAAAAAAAACTACTGAACTGCTTTACCAAATATCACTACTGAGGAAATGTATGAAAAATATCACAAGTATAAAATATATTAATACAAATGCCAGATTTTAAATAAAGACCTTTAGTTTTCCTCATGGTGTAGTTTTATTGTTTCTTCCACAATATTCAGATGTGCAAGAAATTTCACAAGAGAACAAGTCAGCAAGCTCATAAGGCAGCAAATTCTTCACAAGTCAACGGGCTCTTGAACCCACAAAAAGACAAGAAGCAAGTGTAAGATTATAAAATGTTAAAGATGAAATTCCATCACAATGTACTTTTTTCAAGCTCTACTGCAAACTTAACACAAATATCAGTGTTAATTACACTTTGTCATATGATCTGAGCTTGCTTTAAGCTCATACACTGAAAGGAAGACTCATTTCATGCACAAAATCTGTTGCATGCCCGGCTTCCTTAAAACTACAGTTGAACATTTCCAGAGCCAAAAAAATTCAGCAAAGCTAAACTACAAGAAAATGCAAGTTAGTAAGCTTTTGCTTGATGCTTCTGAGTAATAAAGTCATCAAACTGATACTTAGAAATGATAGAAAGACATTATCTTGATAATTTCATTTTAGTTTCAACACCAAACATTGTAGAAAGCATCCATGTTTCTGTTACTGTTTTCTAATTTAACTTAATCATGATGATCAATATTTAGGGTCAAAAGGTAATTGCCCCAATTCTATTTCAAGATTTGCCATGTGTCTTCCATTAGTGCGACCATATTTATGCCATTTACCTTCCCTTTTATAAGGTTGTGGCTGAGGGTGCTTCTGCTCTTGTTTTCGATGCCTGGAGTTTTCAATATTTACCATACGTTGCTTTTTATCTGGTCGACTGAAAGCAGTAAACACATTTTTCATCTATGTTAGAGTTAAATTTAAACAAACAATTTTAATGTTTTTCTCCATTAATCTATTATCTGAACACTCTGAAAAAGGATGTTAGTCTGAAGTATAATCCTAACACAACCAATACCAAAAAGATTCAGTATTCCACTTTTATCCTACAGAAAAAATAGACAAGCATATTGTAGTGGCAAAAAAGGGAAATACTCAACAGATAAATAAAAATGTGACAATAAAATAATGAGATGTGTTTCCGTTATTTCTCCTCTCATTCAGAAGCAACCCCTCCCCACTGGCTTCATTCCTCAGCTGGAATATATACATCTCTCACAAACTAAAGTAAGTCTTTTTTTCCTTTTCCTCTCTTATAGCCCCAGCTAAGGTTCATAAGCAAGGTCTATGTTTACTGCTCTCCTGAAACTCCGTATGATTAGGCTACTTCTGTCACTACCTCACTGAAACAGTCCAGAATGCCATTCATGGCCACCCAATTCCCCAACTAAGAAATCCAGTCTCTTATTTAATGTTTAAAGCACTTGACACATATATATTCATTTCACTTGAGATGATCTTTGGATTTTCATGCCACCACACTCCGGTATTCTTAGCCTTCTTTCTCTACAACCCTGTAGGTGTTAATGTGCCCCAGGAGTTTCATAAATACCCCAGCCTAGACTATCTACACACACAGAATCTGGGCGAGAAAGAGTCACAGAACTAATGGCCAACTAATTCTTTCTACTTGGCTGACAATAGGTACAAGGCACAGTTCTCATCTCCAATTCCCCTTACCCAAAACATCTGGTATCCCTTACCTTAGTGATACCACTATACAACTAGTGACCCAACCCAGAAATCTAGAATTGTTACTATCTACTTCTCTTTCACAAGAAATACCACCAATTTTACTTATGTTATTCAAATCTGTCTCCTTCCCACTCCTGTTCTCTAGTTCAGATACTCATCAGCTCACATCTACTTTTTTTCAAAGCCCACCGTCTCTAGCTTCACTCTTTGAAACCATTCCTCCAGGCTGTTGCCAGTGATCCAGAATGCAATGAAGCAAGTCCTTTAAAATAAAACGAGGTCCTTCAGATCTTCACAAAAGTTCTGTATCTTCTTTTCATACCCTAGCATTACCCTACCTCCTAAAAGAGCCATGTCTTCACATCTCCAAATCTATGCAAATGAAGTTCTCCTTCAATGTAATGTCCTACTCTATCTGCTTAGCAAATTCTCATTTCTCCTTTAAAATCCAGTTTAAAGAAGTTCAGTTCAAAGACCACCTCACCCCTGAAGCCTTCTCAAACATCTCTGGGCTAAGGCCACCATATGCAATGTACTTCCGTATCTCTTTCATTTCTTATATTTACCTAACTCTCCAAAAGCTTGTGAGCTCCGTGATGGCAAGAACTTTTCATGTTTTGTAAGGGCAGCCTCACAATGTTTTGCTCATTTCAGCACTAGATATTTAATGACTTAAGACACCAAAATCAGTCTCATTATTTTATAGACACATTACATTTATTCAAAAAGATATATATAACTAAAAGATAAAAATAAAGCTAACATTTGAAGATTAGGTGAGTTTCATTTACAGAATATAAAGCTGATAAGCAATGGATAGTCATTTTTAGAAATATATGTAAAGCACACACATTGTTAACTTGTGGCTTACTAAGTTTGCCTCTACCTTTATGAACAATAATTGTGTAGTAACTGTATTAGGTATCATAATTTAATTGGTAAATGGAATAGACAAATAAGTGGGCCAACCCAAATTGTTACATATGAGCTCTTCTGATTTCAGAGTGAAATCTGTATAGTTCACCCTAGCTTCCCAAAATGAGTAAAAGACTAAAGGAATATAATTTCACTTAAGGTGATTATCTTTAAAAAAAAAAGGTGATTATCTTTTCGTAAACTAGAATGAAAAGAAACAAAAGAAGCTAAAATAGGATTGCATAATCTTAATGTATTTTTAAGGCAGAAATTAAACCATTTGCTCAAGTCAAACTGATTATATAAAATTTTCAGATCTTATAACTGAAAATTTATATAATCAGTTTGACATAGCTATTAAAATTTTATCTTTTGACTTAATTTATTCTAAGTTCTCTGGCAATAAAGGACTTTTACAAATAGCACTTTTATTTTTACAAAAAACACTTTATGGATAGTAACATTCCAAGATGTTAAAATGATAAAAATGCCACCCAATCTATAAACGTTAAAAACTATTATAATAACATGGTGCTATGTAAACCGACCTGGGTCCATATGGAGGGGAAAGAGTGTGACCAAAGAAGTGTCTATATATAAATCCATCCAACTTCTCAAACACTCCATCATTATCTACTTGATATTCCTTCATGTCTTTAAGATAATCTTTAACATCATTAACAAAGTCAGTGAAGAGCTTCTGATCATGTATAAAGACACCATTTAGGAAAAACTTATTGATGAACTGATCAAGTTCTTTCCAATGATGAAAACTATCCAGTTTTTCTAATAAATACCTTTCAATTAACTGTCTAAATTCATCTATCTTTACAGGATTCAACACTTTCATATTAAAAAGGTTAATGGATTCTTGCTGAGCACATTCAAATACACCAGAACAGGACTTTCTGAAAGAATCATAATTTTCACTACAGTCATGCTCAGCACTGCATTTCTGTGAATTTGTATTTTTTCTAAATTCTTCAAAGTGAATTGGCTTTTCTTTCCTTCCTTCTTTTTGCATAGTAGGGCCTCTATTCTGGTTTTGTGTACGTGCCTTATACTGTGGGTGTATATATTCACTAAAGACTGTTGGTTTTTTAGTTGCTTCTTCTTTTGTGGCACCAAATCTTTTATTGCCCTTTTCATCAAAGATATTCTTGGTGGTATCTTTGAAATGCCTGAAAGTGGATTTAACTGAATCTGAAAATTTTTTCAGATTTTCTTTCACAGCTTCTTTAGCTTGTTTAATTTTTTCTTTATGATGCCTCACAAACTCCTTGGTAGAATTCTTCATGGCATCAAATGTTTCCTTAACTGAACCCAAAAATGTTTCCTTTGACTTATTTTTAGCCCTGTGGTTTCCTCTGCTCCCTTTCTTTTTTCCCTCCATTTCTTGTTTTGCATTTTGATCTTTTGCTTCAATATACAGTCTTTCCCACAAATCAGAACGCTGCTGTTCGAAGTTTAGCTTCTGCTCCAGGTCCGTGAGTCTTTCCCGTAAGATTTCCATTTCCTTTTTGTCAGTCGCTACATTGGGAGAGTCTGGGTTGCCATAAGATTCACTAGAGCTTAACTGCTGGAGTTCCACCTTTAAGGCCATGGTTATTAGTCGTTCTCTCTCCAGTTCCCTCCTTAGCATCTTCGCTTCTGACAAAAGAGTCTCCTTCTGATTCAGGAAGCTGTGGGTCTTCAGCTTTTCTTCTTCCAGGTGCTGCTTAAGTTTCTGATTTTCTGAGATTAATTCAGTCCCTGTCCCTTTATCTTCCAATATCCTAATCTGTTCTCTTAGTTTCCTTAACTCTTCCTGTAATAAAGATAAGGCTTTTTCTTCCTTCTCCAGAGATATTCTTAAATACTGATTTTCTGTAGCAAGATTCTTTTTCTGAGTTTCAAAGGACATCTTCTCTTCTTCAGTAAGGGCCCAGCATCTTACAAGTTTTTCCTTTAATGCCTAATTTTTTTTGAAAGAAAAATGTCAAATGCTTTATTTAAAAGTTCAATTTAAATCTTTAAGACATAACCCTATATAGAGTATCCTTTATGCAGTATATAGATTTGTAGTGTATATATATATATATATATATATATATACATATATATGTATTTCAATACATAAAAATTAGAAAACACAAGGTTTACATGCAGGAAAATGGATAGCACAGAGCTACATCAAAATAGTAACAGCATGCTGAAAGAATTTAAAGACTGGAAAAAATGAGAGCCTGATCCATCCCAGTAAGATTTCTAAAATAGAGCCAGGGGTAATTCTGATTAGTATTTATTAGTGATTACTGATTATTTCCCATAATCCTATGAAAGCCTGAATGGTTTCTAGGCCCACTTACAAGTCAAGAATAAAGGAGATCGGTTTTCTATCTTTTGACTACAGAACTCCAATCTCTCCTACTAATAAGTCTCCTAAAGAGAACTTAGGACTAAAAGCTTCTCTGACCCTTGGGTGAAGGAGATGATCTTCTATAAGAAGGAAAATTATAGCTAGAGATGATTTGAGGATTCAAAATAATTCTATTTATATTCTCTACACTCTTTAAAAGGAAAACATTTCAATAATCTTATTCCTATCTGAAAGATCTTCACTTTGTGCAAATTAACATCCCTAAATAAGTTCAGGTAAGTCCTCCAAGTTCTCCCAGCACTTTAAAGAGCACTGAATCTTGGTAACATTTATAACTAATTTCTCTGATTTCAAATAATCTCCTGAAAAGACTATCACCAGATTAGCAATGTAAGCTGAGTCAGCACCCTTGATAGAGAGGAAACCATGTTCAATTAGATTTACAGAATTTTGCTGCATTTCAAAGTAGCCTTAAATGATCTCTTTCAACATACATATCTGTAACCAACTTTCACTAAAACAGCAAGAAACTAAACAACATACTTAAACAGGTTAATGGTTACAGCATTACCCAGTTAAAATATCTTATCAGCAAATGATACTTACAACAAACAAACAAATGTCCTTTAGGACAATGACAGTATTTCCACTTGAAAAATAACTATCAGAAAGGGAGACAGAACATGAAAGACTCCTAACTCTGGGAAACGAACTAGGGGTGGTGGAAGGGAAGGTGGGCAGGGGGTGGGGGTGACAGGCACTGAGGGGGGCACTTAACGGGATGAGCACTGGGTGTTATTCTATATGTTGGCAAATTGAACAATAAAAAATTTATAAAAATAAATAAATAAATAAATACATAAATAAAAAAATAACTATCTGAAATGGATGGTTCACTATCTGGTTCATTAATCACCAAAGAACAAATTAAAATTTTAAATTTCATTATATTTAAAGGCACATGGGTGGCTCAGTCAGTTAAGCATCCAACTCTTGATTTAGGCTCATGATCTCAGGATCCTGAGATTAAGCCTTGAGTCAGGGCTGAGTGTGGAGCCTGTTTGGCAATCTCTCTCTTCCTTGCCCTGTGCCCCTCCCCTGCTGCTCATGCTATTTCTCTCTCTAAAGAAATTGTTTTTAAAATGTCATTATAATCATTTCATCTGTGCTGCATGTGAGAGAAAACAAGTTTCATGTACCCATAGAAGTGGACCATGGGGTAGTACGGACTAATGTAACAATTCATTACCTTTAAATGCAAAAGCACAAGGGGCCACAGTGACTGATAGGTATATTCTGCATTCAGTAAACTCCATAATCTTGAATTAAGTGCCTGATAAGTAAATCCTGCGCAGGTCTCCCACCAAGATCTCTAAAATCCAAACCACACTTAATAGCTGGAGGTAAAATGCCTGCAAGAACTGACTCAGTAAAGATTTTTTTTTAAAGATTTTATTTATTTATTCATGAGAGACACACAGAGAGAGAGGCAGAGACACAGGCAGAGGGAGAAGCAGGTTCCATGCAGGGAGCCCGACGTGGGACTCGATCCCGGGTCTCCAGGATCACACCCTGGGCCACAGGCAGGCGCTAAACCACTGAGCCACCCAGGGATCCCTAAGACCTGGTAAAGATCCATGCAGGGTCAGTCTCCTAAAAGCCAACAACATCCAATGGAACCAGAAACCTTGGTGATAAAGAGTATGCCTGTTCTTTTTATAACATCCTTTGATCAAGACAGGAAAAACTACACTATTTACAAACAACTTCAGTAGTGCCTGCTTAAAAGACAAAAATCCAGATGTCAAATGAGATTCTGTCTTCTAAAGTAAGATAATCCTTGAGATCCCTGGGTGGCGCAGTGGTTTGACGCCTGCCTTTGGCCCAGGGCGCGATCCTGGAGACCCGGGATCGAATCCCACATCGGGCTCCCAGTGCATGGAGCCTGCTTCTCCCTCTGCCTGTGTCTCTGCCTGTCTCTCTGTGTGTGTGTGACTATCATAAATAAATTTTTTAAAAAATTTAAAAAAAAATAAAGTAAGATAATCCTAACACTATAAGGGATACATAAATTGTGAAGGAAATCTAGAGGAATGGAATAAAAAAGGGAGAGTTTACTTTTCTACCCTGAGTTTTATCTACAAGCACCACACCCTTCTTATGAAGAACCATATAGGAGACCAGCTATTACGCTGGTCCTCATAAACCCACAAAGGTATTAATGGACAGCACAGTCCTGCTGTGTTAGGTGAGTTTCAGTAGGCAAGTATAACACGCTCTCTTCCATCAGACCTAACAAGAAACCAAAGAAAAAGACTGGCTGATTATTTCCCTTGATCAAGGAAAGATCTTTGAGAGAAGCTACAAACTCTCCTTCTTCTCATGACTGAAAATGTTTGGCTAGTTCTGTGAAAATGTTAATAACAATTATATATATATTATTAATGATGTTAATTATAGTAATTTAGAAATCTCTTTCCCATCTATGAAATGAAAGCCAATACCTGATTAATTCATAGGGCTACGGTGGGCAATGAGAAATTCTGTATGTGAGCTAATCATAGCAGTGACTAGGATAATCAACAATTATTACAATATTATTATTGACTCACTAATCTGCTTTGTACTTACATCTGAATAGTGCAATAATTATTAGCTAACAATGCTTTTTTATAAACTTTGTTAATAGTACATACCTTATAATCTATAAAAGATTCTTGTTCCTGTTGACATTGGGAAAGATAATCCTTCATATCATTCAATTCATCTTCATGTATCTTTCTGAATAACTGCTGCCGCTTCTGAATCTGAATTGTGCCTGAAAAATGACATTTTTATTAGGGATACACACACACACACACACACACACCACAAACGTTATGATGACCAATATTTGAAACATAAAATAAAACATTGAATCTGTATATATTTACTAATTAATCTGGATAGGATTATTTTCTTCAAGGCCAGCATTTCACAGTTCTGTAACTCTGATTACATAAAGAATAAGTAAAATCTCATGATGGCCGTCATCAAATGGTGGTGGATGAATGTTAATATAAGTAAGTCCAAGCAGGTTAATATTTTTTTTTAGCATACACCAAGGGACATTTAAGCAGTTCACTATTCCTTTTGACTAAAACAAGCCAGGCTACATTACCCTTAAAAAAAAAAAAAAAAAGCTTATATAATGTTTTTAATCTTACTATATCAACGGCACTCAAGTTTGTTGTTTTTGAGAGTTTGCTGAGGTACATAAAGTGTTGCCTAAAACAGGGAAAGAAACAAACCATGGAATCTATTCACAGGATGAAGTCAATAAGGAAAAATAAAAGTCTATTTTTTCTCACTATATTTTGCCTAATAAATGATGTAACAGCCCAAAAAGTACAACAAGGAAAATAACTGGCTGCAATTACCCAACCATTCTCACATCTAAATCATTTAAGAGTTCTGCATTAGTTAGTTCTATATTAGAGGACCACCATCCCCATACCTGCAGTGACCAGTCTTAAACCAAATAGGATTCTCTGTATTTTCACCCTAGAAACCAAATTGTTAATTTGCCAAGACATGCTGTTCACATGCTGTTGCATGCCTCATGCACGAGAGAGAAAAAAGAACACTGAATCAAAAATAAGGCAAAAGGCATTTGGCAACCTGGACCTTAACATCTATCAAGTGGCATACTATTATATATAGATATCATAGGATTTGTAATGAAAATGATTTTGTAATGATATTTATTATTTCTTCCCCTAATGCTAAAAGAAAAAAAAAAACTTTTAATTTCTTCAATGATCCTGAAAAACACTAAGGGAAAAAACTTTTGCCAAATTACAAACAACTGTTACCAGCTATGATATTCCTCTGTTAAGGTTCACTTCCTCTCTTTCAATTTTCCAATTTATAAGCATGGCAAATTTGTCTCAATATTACTCAAAAGATTTTTGGATTTTTTAAATGTTGAAAATCATTTTTTAAATGTAACTATCAGAATAACAGAAATCGTTTTTCTTTTCAAACTGCTGACAGGATGAATTCCTTCGCCCTCTGGAAAATAATCTATGTTGTTGAGATCTGAATTTGCAGTACTATTATATAGTTTATGTTGGACAATTATCTTAATGTGGCCTTTCCTAATCTAGTAACTACTGGGATTTTTTTTTTTTCCATCTTCAGCCACCTAACTATAAAGTGTTACCACCCAAAGTTCAATCTTTGGCCTTCTTGTCATGTCTACAGATTTGCCTATTTTAATTATTAAAACACAGTTTTTGCTATGATGCAGTTTTGCTATGTAAGAGTTCTCTTCTGACTCCAATCTTATCAGAGCTTCCAGCCAATACACCTAGCTGCCTGTTGGGCACAGTTTTCGAGAGTTCTCACAAAAAACAAACAAACAAACAAAAAAAACCACCTTAACACCTGCCGAATAAAGCTGGATAAAAACAAATCAAACTGCGTTATTTATCATCTAGAAAACCTTTCCTAGAAACACCCTCAATTCCAAAAATAAAGAACCTACCACACTTCTGAAACTACCAATATCACAAGTATCCTCAAAGTTTTGTTTTCCATTATTATTTTGGTGTCCCTTATTTCACTTATTTCATCCCCATCCACTATAATTTTCAAAGTCCTGATGACCAACTATCAGGATTACAAACCCTCTTACCTGACTGTCTTAATTTTTCCCATACCATATGCCTTCCTGCACTTTTTCTGAAAAATTACTGCGAGGCCACTCTATTAACCCTGAGTTACAGACCTCTATAATATACAACACTGACACCAGCCTACATGTTCCAACATTTTATTTCATTATTTCTAATTTATCTACTCTGCTGTAGTCCAGCTAGTCTTCTCACTGCTCCGAAAACCAGCAAAGTTTACTTTCAGGTTATCGGTTCTCCATTGGCTGCAATGTTCCACTTACCCTCTGCCTAGCATAAGCAAGCATAAGACCACACCCCACTCAAATCCTACCACCTCCAGCATAACTCAGTAAGTATAGTTCTTGACTATAATCCCTGTCTGTGCTACATAACTTAGCACCTAGTTGTATTCTATCATAGTGTCTGAAGAGCTGGGTAGCCTGTCAATACTTAAAGTAACTCCATGAGAAAATCAAATCAACTGAACTCTTCTGCTGATTAGAATACTGACAGCCTACAATGTAAAGAAAGAGTAAGGAAGACTGGTGCTTCATACATGAAGATTTTTTAAACTTTTATAAGCCCTTTCAGAATCTGAGGCAATACCAAATACCTGTAGTACACTGTTTTACTATCCTTGAACCTGCTAGTTTTCCCTTCTTTCTAGGACAGACAGGATTCTCCAAATTTATAGAGCTAAGGCTGGTGAACATTCTGAGTGATTCACTTAAATAGTATACTGTGTTAAATAATTAGCAAGCAAAGAATGATTATGGAGTATGCACTGACTAACTTCATGGTGCATGAGAAATTCAAACTGGCTCTGAAATCAACTTCAAGGAGTTCTTGGTATGTGGAGATCAGTGCCAGAACTAAGGAAAAAAAAAATGTTGACCTTGAAAAGCTAACAATCATTCAGGTAAGTTTTTATATGTTTACTGGGCTGATCTCATCACCATGAAAAACTATTTCATATTACCCAGTCTTTTCATATTCTGAAAAGATAATTTTAAAAAGTATGGGAAAATTTTTTATTAGATATAATCATTTAAGTAAGTTTTACAAGTAACCAAAACCTTAAACAGAGCAGCAATCTCAATTTTGAAAGGACTCCTCTCTAAATTGTTCTTTCTATAAAGCACTGAAAGGTCATGCAATTGATGGGGTTTTAATGCAATCTACATGAACATTAAATCATTGCCCAACTATTTTAGTAAGAAAGAAAAGATTAAGATAAGACCTTCTCCTCTGTTACCTCCATGTTTACCTGTGGGGAAAAAAATCATGCTCAAAAATGCATTCATACATTTGTTCCAGCTAGATAATAAACACAATTAAGCGTAGTACTTCAAGTCAAATCTCATTACAATAAGCTTCAAGGAAGAATACAAATTACAGTATTTCAGTATTAAATTCAAGCAGGCATCCACCAGGAGTCTAACCACTTATTTTTATCAATATAAAGTTAAACCAGAAGAAACACATTTTACAGAGTCTAACTTTAAACAAGTGTTGTCTCAAGTTTATTCTAACATTACACTATGTTGAATAATGTATCTTTTCCACAAATTAATATAAAGTACCTTTAACTATTTTTGCATAAGGAACACACTGTTGAAAGGAATTAGCAAAACAGGAATATTCCAAAAGTTAAATTGTAGATCACATCAGCAAAAAAATCTAGAAGTACTTCATTTCATGTAATGCAAATTGAAATTTGTAAAGTTGACAAAATCTAAAACATTTGTTTAAAGTGTTTTTTTTTTCAAAATTCTGATATAGAGTATGTTAACGAGTGTGAACTGTTCAGTTCTCAAACAGTCTCATCTTTTTACAGACACATTAAATAAGAATGGGGGGCACTTGGATGGCTCAGTCAGTTAAGTGTCTGCCTTTAGCTCAGGTCATGATCTTGGGGTCCTGGGACTGAGCCCCCACATCAGGCTCCCTGCTCAATGGGAGTATCTGCTTCTCCCTCTTCCTCTGCTCTTCTCTCTCTCTCCCAACTTGTTCTCTCTGCTCCGTCTTGTGTTCTTTCTCAAATAAATAAATGAAACATTAAAAAAAAAAAAAAAAGACTCAATGGTTAGGCTCCCAAATGAAAAATTACATGGAATTCCTTCCTCTTTTCATCCACTTTTAAAAGCTTTGCATTAAAGATACTTAATATACATAATTACTAATATGGATAATTATAAGCAAAGCTTAGGGGTGCCTGGGTGGCTCAGTTGGCTAGGTGTCTGCCTTCAGTTCAGGTCATGATCCTGGAGTCCTGGGATCAAGCCCCTGGGTGGGGAGCCTGCTTCTCCCTCTCCCTGTGCCCCTCCCTGCTGCTTGTGCTCTGTTGCTCTGTGCTCTCCCAAATAAATAAATAAAATCTTAAAAAAAAAAGACAAAAATTAAACATGCGTGCTAAAAATTCCTACATTTTTAAAATAAATACCACCTAATGTAAGCAAAAATAGCTTTGTGAACTAGGTAGCACTATTCCTGTTTTTCAAATGAAAAACCTGAGGTTTAAATAGACTATAAGCCTTCCAAGGTCATAAAATTAATGATGACACAGAAAACAGATCCCGGAATTCCTCACTCTTAGCAAATGCCCATACACTACACCATCAAATTACGTGTATCAAATCTTCAAATACTTACCATAGAAATGTCCAAATCCCATGCTGATTGCAATCACCAAAGCAAGTATAACACACTTATTGAGACCACTGCTGAACTGGCGTTTACACAACTCCTTAGAGGGTTCACTTTCTTGTTCGGGGAGTAGCCTTTCCTCAGATTCTGAACTAGAAACAGTCTTCTTCCTAGCACGGCGTCGTCTAAAAGCAGGACTAGGCTGATGACTGGTTTCATCACTACTTGATTCATCGTCACTAGGCTGGGATGAAAATACTATTTTAAAAAGAAAAATGTAAATATTAAAAATTTTAGAAAAGCTTTTCCAGTAAATATTATTTAGTATAATCAATGCCATCCCTACATGCCCTTTTACATAAGACAGCCAAAAACAAAACCAAAACAACACAAATGAAAACTCAAAGTTTTCAGGTTTATCCACATAAAGCCAAAACAAAAGATTTCAATTGTGATACATAAGAATCTGTTAATCATATTCTGTGCCTTTGAGGATCTATCTGGTTTTATTTTTAAAACCTCTCTTATAGTTAACACTGTTAGAACATCATTCTCATAAACTAGTAAACTTCTTTGCTATTAGAACCATAAACAGATACAGTTTCTATAAAGAAAAAAATTCTCTTCTTCATTCAATTTCAAATAGAGGGAATTTAAGTTCAACTACTTAAGGAACACAGGGAAGTATATGAACAGTTCCTGTGACTTACAAAGTACAAGAACTACCAAAAGTTCTCTATTGGGTATATCTGGACCCTAGTTTCATTTCCATCCTTTGAGTCCACAATCAATATTCAAAAACTATACAGTTTAACACAGGTTTCCAGAAGTCAGATGAGCCCTTCCCTTCGACTGCCACTCTTACTAGAAGGTTATTAATTTTACCCTCTAGTAAATATGTCAGCATGAGGAAGTGACACAACAGCTATTCCGATATTAAGGACTAGTCTGGTGCTGCTCCTTTATGAAAAGAATAGTAAAAAAGAACAACAAAAAAAAATCCATAAGAAATCTAAAGTCGTGGTAATATATCCACTAAAAAAAAAAACAAAAAACAAAAAGAACAAAACAAAACACCTTCAGTTTTTTCAAATGTAGAGCTTATTAACAATGTTCCATCAATAAATAAACTACATATTGACACAGAAGGTTAGATGTAATTTCCAAAGGCCAGTTAAAAGGGGGGGGGGGGAGACACCAAATGTAAGGAGATAAAATGTGACCCTCAATTTGATACAAACAGCTCCAAAACAACAAACATTCATGCTTCAAAAAAGTAAAACAGTTCTTTAGAAGACAGGATATCCATGCCACAGGAAAGCTAGTGACTTGGGTTAGGCAGTAATTTTTAAAGATGGGTCACAAAGGATTCAGTTAACTTTCACACCGACAACAACAAACACAAAGACAAAAAGAACTACTGAATGAATGAATGTTCCTAATACTCAGTGATACAGATGCCACTGAGAGATCTTTTGGTCATGACCCTTATGCCCATCATGTTTATCTGGTTATTCTTGATCACTAGTTTTTCCCAGATGCCGTCGCCTCAGCTGTGAGGTTACATTTCTTGGACAAAAAGAAAGAAAGGAAGACTTAAACAAAGCATTACATAATACAAAAAGGCATTCAAGATCATGGCTGGATATTTAAGTCAGACTTCAACAATATTAAAATGGGTAAATGTAAAAACAAATCATTTGTCGAAATTCCTTAAATAAGTTTAATTAATTCTACAATAGCATATTGCCTTCATATAGATTCTAAGTAAACAAGCCAGCCTCATCCATATTAATAAATTGATATCCTTATCCAATGCTTCCATCTTTTTTAACCTATACATGTCATAGCTGAAATATTTTGATTTTTAAATTTCTTTCAAAGCTTAACTTGGCCCAGAGTCCAAGATGCAGGCAATGCAAAGGCATGCAATAAGCTTAGCCAGCTTTATTACAAGATCAATTTGAACACCTGTTTAGAGTATCACAGATGACAACAGTTATCTTTAAAGCACTAAGTAAATAGTAAATGTGACTAGGCACACTCAGCTCTAGAAAAGCTGATCAGATTTAGTCACACCACCTTGGAAAGCGAGTTGGCTAGGAACATGGTGTTTCAGCTGATCATCCCATCCCCTTATGCATTCAGGAATCTTCCACAGCTTCTCCCACCACCTTTCTTTTGTGAATAAACAGGAAAAAAAGATGTATAAAGCTTTAATATAAAGACTAAAAAGGAAAGAGAGAATTGAAAATACTTATTTTAATTATCACTCCACATTGTTATTTGTGCTCCATCAAAATTGATCACACCTTTAAAAAAAACAAAAAGGTATGTGCAATATAAACTTTTCTACAACTCCCAACTTTGCTTTCTTGGGGGGAAGTCCTGTGGGGGCAGTGGATAGTATTCTTACATGAACAAAAAGTGTACTGCCATAAGAATCTAATTCAGAAGAAAAAACCTGAAGTTGAAATCCTACAGAAATGGAGAAGAAAGGAAAAATCAAAATAACCAGGCAACAGGTAGTCGGGATTAACAGACCAAGAAAAACAGGTGAAAGAACAAAGAACCCTGGCAACTGATTTATATATAATATTTTCAACATATTCCAAAATATGATTTTTTGAAACTTTATAGCACTTTGTTTATTGAAATAATTCATTCCTTCAGGAGAGATAGCAATGGATAAAAATATTCCTAATAAAATATGCCTTTTAACTGAAATTGTAAAATTCCCAAGAGCTGCAAGGAGATAAAAATCAGAGTAATGAGCTTTGAAGTATCCAAGTTCCTGAAAACATTGTTTGTAAGATCGATTTCTTAAATGTCTGCCTAGACCCTTCTGCAATCCTCCTGCTTCAATGTGACTTTTTCCAGCCCATGAATATTCTCATATTCAACCACCATCTATAGTCTTCCCAAAAAAGAAAGGAAAGAGGGAAAGAAGACTACTTGAGTACAGCACAGACCCTGGAACTAAACGAATAAAATAAAATTTGAACAAAAAAGATTCTGAAGTCAATTCATTAGTCCTCATAATACATACACTATATACACCATTCTGGTGAAGGCTGGCCGCTAAGAATGCCAGAGGAGTATTTAAATATTTGAAAAAAGTGTTTTCAAACTCTTGCTTATAAGCAAACTGTCATTAAATGAGATAGCTAAAAATCTCTATTTGACATTTTATTAGCTTGAAATGGCATAACAGCAATTCCACTGCCTGGTTCTGGCAAGTATAAATATTAAAGAATGGTAAACTCTAAGAAAATGACCTGAAATAAACACGTCCTTATTTCTGCATCAAATTAGAAAATTTTAGGAGTCACTGACAGTGTTCCAACTTGTCTTTCTCCCAATTCATCCTTGAGTTACAAATGTTGGTTAGTAACTGTGAGTTCATCATAATAGGTCTGCTTCTTTTATTTCCCAGTAACGTTGTGTCTAAATATTTATGTCCACCTTGAAAGATGTAATATATATCCCTGAAGCTAAGCCAAAGAAACACAGAAAGGAATAAGCTAAGTAACTCACATTTTAACCTCTATATCACTGTGTGAATAGCAGACATTAAGTGCATTAATAACGTGACTTAAAATAGGCACCCTTTCATGACTCAATCTAAAATGAGAGATACAAAGGTCAGGGGTTTTGGGATGTTGTTGTTCTGCTAGCTCTTTGAACACTGTTTAGCACATAAGTAGCATTCAATAAATGTTTGCTAAATGATTAATAACTGAAAGGATCTAACAGACTTCGATAAGAAGCTTTTTCACAATTTCTAAAATACAAAATTTGTATCATTCTAAGTAGAAATCGACTTTCTTCTGCTTTTTGTTATAATGGCTCAATCTTCCATCCTTAAATATCTAAAATATGTCAAATTCATTTTGGAGTGTTTAAGACAATAACAAATCTCCTTGAAGATATTATTTTTCATCTTTTACTTAATAAAAGATGGCATTTCTTGTTGTGACAATTCTGCTGTAGGCCCTGTGACCTAAGAAAACACTAAACAGAACAGTAGATTTTACCAAAAAAATTTCAACTGTAATAAAAACTTGTCCATTATGTAAAATGTGGTCCCAGGAGACCTTACATCTCTAGCAGTATATTCTTTACACAGCTCTTACCAGTTTCTGGCTGACAGAATGTGTACTGGCTGCTGGAAGAAGAGCCCATGTTTAAGTCTTCTGGACTCTGTGCTTCTTCAACAATTAGAGTTTCTGGATTTCCAATTTCTTCTAACTTAGGTGGCTCAAGGGTAACAATATCAGAATCATCACTGACAGTTCCAAAATAGACATTGTCTTCAGATGACTTTTCTTCTTCTCTCTAAGGAATAATTTTAGACAGTAAATTTACTGTCAGTGTCTAATAAATTTAGAAAGTAAGTTATTTAACAGCCTTATATTTTCTATGTAGTTCAAAGTGTATACCAGGATTTAAGTAGTATGGTAATTTGGGCTTAAAATAAAAGATAGGAGTCCTGCCCAAAAGACAAAGATTACTCAATACCAAGTTCATCTTTTAGTTTGAAAACACCATCAAACCCCTTAGCAATTCTCTCAGAATTAGATCAAACTGTTGCTAATCATCATGGGCTGCAGAAGCTGATAGGCCCACCTTTAAAGCCAAGGACCACAGAAGGGCGAGGATTCATTTCTCACTAATTCCATGGGTTTATCTGAGCATAAACTCTGTAGTCAGAAAGCCCAGAAAAGAGTGATTACAAATTTCTCTCATTAGACGTATTACAAACTTCAATAGCTATGTCATATACAAGTCATCTAGTTTTATCCAGAAGTCAAGTAAAACATCAAAAAACAAGATTTAGTTTGTTCTCAACTTTAAAAGCAAACCTTCATTTTTAGGTAAATCCTAATAACTTAATCTCTCAATATAATTCAAGAATGCAATCTAGTTCCAAAGAAAAGCATATTAGAGGGGAAATGAACAGAAATTACTTTTGCAATTACTTTGGTAAGTTAAAAGACATCTCACCTAAGAGTTTAAGACAGAAGCTAACTCTAATCATAAAGGTGACTGATCTATGGAGTCTCAAAATTTTTAATAGAAGTTGTTTATAATTCATAAAGCAATAGAATGCACAACCTGAAATGGAAGCTTTAATTATTCCTTAGTATTAATTAACAAATATTGTATGTCATATATCCATAGAGTACAACACAAGTTTACCTCAAGTGCTGACTTTGTTTCCTCCAAAGCTGGATAAGCAGCTTCTCCCATTAATGGTGTGCCATTTTGGCTACTCTCTGATAAAAAGCAAAGATCAATTCAATCAATTACACTTAACTGAGTTTTTGTAGTTCACAAAGATTATAATTTGAGTACATAAAATCTATTCCTAATTTTTAAAAGTGGATTTAATTAAATATCACATACAATGATAAAAGTCACTCTACCTTTGCGTTTAAAAAGAATTCTCTATTCAAATTATTTGAAACTGTCAGAATTATTTCAGATACTGAATTCACTTAAGATCTACTAAAAAAAACAATATAAATCTCTAAGTAAACATAATCTCTACTTTACAATACCAAAGTAATGAATCCAAGGTATCTGTAAAAACCTGTTAATTTGGAGGGATGCCTAGGTGGCTTAGCAGTTGAGCATCTGCCTTTGGCTCAGGGCCTGATCCCAGATTCCCAGGATTGAGTCCCACACATCAGGCTCCTTGCAATGGAGCCTGCTTCTCCTCCCTCTGCCTGTGTCTCTGCCTCTCTTTCTGGGTCTCTCATGAATAAATAAATAAAATCTTTAAAAAAAAATCTGTTAATTTGGAAAACCAATTTTTAGACATCTGATGGTACATTTTCTGAGTTCATGAGGTTTATTCAAAATTCCTAAAAGTATCACTATTCTAATGATTGTCAATGCCTGGTAACACAAGAATCAAAACTATAGCTTCAAATTATGAATTCTTTGGAATAAAAAAGATTCAAAAGAACACAGAAAAATAAGATAATGTCACTATAACAGATATATTTTATAAGAAACTCCTCAAATAAAAAGGTGTACAAAAAAGCTGGAGTTCATAAAATTATATTTTTAATGAAAAAAGCTATAAAAGTTTAATACAAGTCAAAAATATTACAAAATGATAAACATATACATTTTATACATAGCAAAGAACATAACCAAATGTTAACAGTACTTACAACCAGATAAAAAGAATTATAGGTGACCTAAAATTTTTTTTGCTCATCATTTTTTTCTGTCATGAACATGTATTTCTCATATAAATTAGCCCCTTCAAAAATTAAAAAACAGGAGAAAAAAAGAAAAACTATCCCATTTGTATGTGTTCCATAGCCCCTAACAAAATATTAATCTGAAATTAAGACTCTTCAACAAAGATGGACTTGGGTCCAAAGACTCTCAAGGAAGTTTGGAAGTACTTTTACATATGTGAGTATATGCATTACTTGGGAGTAATAATCCACAGCTTTCAGATTCTCAAAGAGCTCTCTGACCTATCAATGATGAGAATCAGTGTTCCAACACGAATAATCAATATAGGCTGAAGACAAGATTAAGAAGTACAATCTATCATATTTCTAGGCATGACATACTCACTTTAATCTCCTGAGTAAATGTTCTGTTTACATTTTAATGCAGTTTTTTAAAAAGTTTAAGAAGTAATTTAAAAATGAAGAGTATAGCATTTAAATACCTTTGACCACCTCTAACCAACAGTAATTTGAAGCATGATGATAACTAGAGAATCCGAGTTTAGTAAATCCCTTATGATTAATTATTTTGTACATCACTAGCCTTAATCAACGATTAGTAGTATTTAGCTACTGGTTACACTTGTAGTATCAGAGAGTTATACAGAGGCCCAAATATATACTACAGCTGCAAATAAACAAACCTCTGGGCATTAGGTACCACTACCTACCTAATCCACACTAACATTCTAGTCATTCAGTGACCTGATCACTTAAGTCAGCTAGAAATGCTGCCCACCTAGAAAAAAGGTTAAAGACCTGTTGTTTACACGTCAATATTTAAGAAAAAAAAAGTCAGACCTTTTTTAGTATCTTACCTCCCGGCTCTGACTGCAATACTTGTAGTTCCTCTTGCTCTAAAGATGTACATTCTGGAGCGAGCTCACAGCTGTCACTGGCTGTACCATGTTCAGAATTCACCATCTCTATATCAGACCCCTATGGAAAAAGTGATAATCAGTTATATGTCTATCAGCTGCTCAAAGTTGGACACGACTACAGGTAGATTATTTCCAGTGTTAAAAGTCTAGATGCCATACTCCAAAAGGAGTGGTATCTAATCTAACTACCTTTTATTCAATTTAGTCCATAAAGACCTATGGCAGGAAAATGGCAGGATGGAATCACAGGCTAAGATTATTTATATATATATATATTTATACATATAAAAATTTACATATTTATATATGTATATATTTATACATATATAAATTTAAATTCTAACAGAAGTCAACCAAAAGTCAAATGCTCTACTCGATAATAAGCCCAAGCAATAAATTTGATCCCAGAGAATGTTTTTAAACTAAACTTTAGCTATTTCTATTAATTTACTTCTACTCAACATTTATGAAAGTACTATGTAAGGCACTTCACTATGTGTTATGAGGTATAAAAAATACAAATCCAAAATACAAGTTTATAGCCTATTCAGAGAAATTTCCATATGCAAATAACTATTTACTGTGACAATGTAGAAAACTAAAAAGCCTAAGGGCAAGGATTAAAATGAATCTATAGAATGAATGGAGTAAACTTTCCCTATAAAACTTTAGAGTATTATTTATTTTTCCAAAGTTGTCCTCCCTACTGTGATGTTAGACTGTCTTCTCTATAATAAAACAATGGATCTTAGTTTTTTTTTATCCTTTATTAATTAGCAAAATAAAATTAGCCACTAAGCTCCTTCTGCCTATCCCCAATGCCTCTCTCCCAATTTTTCCTGCAGTTTACTGATCCATGAAATCGAAAGGTCTAAGTTCTCCTGACATATATAACTCAAAACAGTAAAAAAAGAATTCATGAATGAAAACTCTGAGTGTAAAGACACTTGCTTAAGGTGGCAGAAAAATGATAGAAAACAGGCAAGGTTAGGGCTGAACTGGGGATTGCAGGGGAGACCAGTTCTGGCCTAGGAACGGTGCCAAAGGGAATGATGGCAAAGGGAATGGAAAAGGAAACCTGCATAAGAGACATTAGCAGCAGAACCTGAAAACTAGATACAAAGGGAAGAAGGATAAAAATACAAATATGATCTACTGTAAGACAGGATGTCTCTAGGGGGGATCCCTGCGTGGCTCAGCGGTTTAGTGCCTGCCTTCAGTCCAGGGTGTGATCCTGGAGTCCTGGGATCAAGTCCCGCATTGGGCTCCTTGCATGGAGCCTGCTTCTCCCTCTGCCTGTTTCTCTGCCTCTCTCTGTCTGTGTCTCTCATGAATAAATAAATCTTTAAAAAAAAAGACAGGATGTCTCTAATACAGAATACTCCAATGACACACTTGGCTGAGTGCTAGAGGTTTACTATCTTGCTTCATACTACAGACTCACAAGTAAGTCTCTCACAGCTTCCTTGCTCCTATACTATTAATTATCCTGAAGGAGAAATAATTCCTATGGGGGATGATCTATGCTTTGTAGAAAACAGGTTAAAAATAGAAAAGTCACTTATTAAAAAAAGAAAACAGAAACCACCCCAATCTCAACTGATAACAGCTGCTATCAAATTTTCAAACTTTACTGCAGAATAAAACATCTCTTTTGGTTAATGTTGATTTTAAGAAGACATGAGTAACCAACTGTCTAAACCTTAAATTATCAAAGTAATTATAAAAATACCATTTAAATTTTTATTAATCAAAGAAAACAAGTCAAGGCTTAAGAGATTCGAAAAACAAATAGAAAATCTATAGATAAATCCATTAAAACTTTAGAAATAGATGATTTTTAACTTAGTGCTTCTACATTAGAATTTTTTAAAAGACTTTATTTATTTGACAGAGAGAGAGCACAAGCAGGGGGGGCAGTAGGCAAGCAGGCTCCCCAGTGAGCAGGGAGTCCGACATGGGGTTCGATCCCAGGACCCTGAGATCATGACCTGAGCTGAAGGCAGACACTTAACCAATTGAGCCATCCAGGTGCCACTACTCATCAGAATTGTTATGACTTTTCTACAATAAACACATATGTTTCCAGTGTGGAAAATAAATTAATGCTTATTATATGCCAGCTATGTAATATTATACTTCTATAATAAAACTCTTTTTTTTTTAAGTATTCTAACCGTAGTCCTTTTTCTATCAAGTTCTGTTAGTAACATAATGTAGCATAACATATCCAAAGTAGAACACATGTTCCCCATGCTCCTTTCTGATCTGTTTAAATGCAGGCTCTGACATTTTCTAGTTACATAACCTTCGCCAAATTACCTAACCTCTCTAAGCTCTAGTTTTCTCATCTAAGAAATGAGAATGAAAACACTCTATACCACAGAAGTTGTTCAAAATTCTATGAGAATGTAGGTAAAGTACAGGGCCTAAATAATAATAAACCCTCAATTAATATTTGCCTAATGTCTCAAAGCCAAGGAAAGCAATGTACAATAATGCAGAAGACATTAGCTCATGAGGAGTTTTCAGAAGTGAAGATTAATGTGGGTGGGAAAATGTCCAAACTATAGACAATGGAACCTCAGGTTTTAATGTAGAAAAATACTGGCCTTCAAAAAAAAAAAAACCCAGCTGATACACTATAATATTACAAATGGCCTTATAAAAATGTTAAATAGCATACCTCATGATTGATGACAGTCCAACCACAAGATGAATCACTGTCACTGGAATTTTCAGACATTTTTCAGGTCTACAAATAAAAAACATATTGTCACGTGGGATACATTTTAAAAAATTCTATAGGAAGCACTATATGTGCCCAAATGCGAAAAGTGGCTTACTGCCTGCCTTCTAGGTGAAACTGAGACAACCCACCCACAGATTTATCACACAGGACATATAACTGCATACTTGCATGAACAAATACAACCAAACTTTTAAGACAAAGAGATCCTCCTGAACTGGAATAGTAGAAAGTCATACTGTAGGAATAAAAAAGCTGTGGTCTGAAAGAAAATGTAAGATTTGGCCAAGCAGAACTGAAGGGAAAGAAACCACTTTGTGTGGGTAAATCAAGGTTTCATTAAAAGATGAAATAGGTGACACCTAAATACAGTGGTGTCTGGGACCCTGGCCTGGAGGTGAACACAGAAGAAGGACATTAATGGAAAGAGTGATGAAATCCAAATAAAGTCTGAAGTTTTAGTTAAAAAAAAAAAAAAAAAAAAAAAAAAGATCAAATAGGGGAAGAGCTCCTAGGCCAAGCAAAATGAAGTCTAAAGTGTTGGCTACATGAAGCAATGGAGATTTTTCAAGCAGGGACGACACAATCAAACAGTTTTTATGAAAATAATGGTGTCAGCAATACTTCACCTAAATTAAAATGGTAGGAAAACGACCAGAGATTGGTTAGAAACTTGTGGTCACTGACAATAATGTAAACTTAAGTCCTAAACCAGCATATATATATATATGTACTGGTCACTCTAACTGGTTTATTCTCCCCTTTCTATCTGAAACTCCTATTTAAACTTCAAAACCAAGCTAACTAAATGGTAATCTTACTGGCTTTGCTGTATGTATTTAAGTCCTATAAATGCTTTTATTATTGTACATACATGGAAAACACACAAAATCCATCTTGATGGTTGGTGTTCTAACAGAATTCTATTTCAGACAATTTAATATGGAACCAGTGTTCAAGTAAGAACAAGGCAAAAAAGAGTGGTCTAAAAATTTTATTATTTTAAAAGGAGAAGGTGTTGGGATGCCTGGGTGGCTCAATCTGTTAAACATCAGACTCTTGGATTTCAGCGCAGATCATCTCTGCACTGAGCATGGAGCCTGCTTAAGATTCTCTCTCTCCCTCTCTCTTTCTCCTTCTGCCCCTACCCTTACCTCCAAAAAATAATAACAAAATGAGAAGGCGCTTAGTCACTAATGATAAAAAATTAGCATGTTTTCAGAAAAATTATTCAAAATCTAAAATAAGATATAAAGATGACTGTATCACTTTTACAGTCATGTTAGAGCATTTTCTAATAAGTTACCTGAGATCACCCAATTACCTGATTTCCTACTTAAAACTGATTAGGGCCCAGGCAGTTTATAACTATAAATCTAAAGGTAAACTACTACAGTGCAATAAATGTTTTCTTTCCAGTAGAGAAGATTACCCCAAAGGTTATATACAGAGTATTAACCAATTATATATCTTAGCAATTTTATTTCAGTATTCCTTATTAAACTGAATATATAACTCCCAATGCCTCATGAACCAGTTTTCATGAGTTTAAAAAAACTTTTGATATGTTACAATTTGTACTTCATTTTTTTAATAATAATCTGAAAATTATTGGTTGACGTATGAGACTACACAAAGACAGTAATTAACTTAGCAAGAGGAAAGGAGAATGGTCAAAGAAGGTTTTATAAATAAGGTTGCAATGTTTTTTAGACATGCTCTCTCGCATTAAGAGTTATTACAAAAAAATAAAGTTCTGTTTCCTCGTTAAAAAAAAGACACTGGAAGGGTTTCCCAAAAGAACAGAAAAAGCATCACAGAGCAAAAACAAAGGCAGAAAAAAATCAAGTATGAACATTCTAAGGAAGGCATTAATCCAGCATGAGTGGAATATTAAAAGAGTATCAGATATAAATCTTTAAAAGTGCATATATTAAGATGAGGAAGCAATTCAAGAGCCCTCAACCTGCAGGATACAAACCATCAGTGCAATAATCCCTGGAGAAGATGAGCGCCTACATTTAACCAAGACTGACGAGGGGGAGAAAACAAAGAAGGGAAGAAGTTGGGAATGATTTTAGAAAACATGAAAGATTTTTTTTTTTTAAAGGACTGAATAACTAAATATAGACGAGGAAAAGAGGTATTGGTAGGAGAACTCCCAGGTTTCTGGTTTAACAAGAAAAACCATTCTATATGGAACAAGAAGGAAAGCTGGCTGAAGCCTAAAAAGCATTCTTCACCATGTGGAAGATGGTAATTAACTTCCTCTAAAGCCCACATTCTCACGCTCCATCTCATCCCTGAGATTTACCAGCTTTATTTTGTTAATAATCTTCCAAAATTTGTGGGTTACCAAACCCAATCAGAGATATTTAATGTGTTTATCTCCCACCCTCTCTAAGTAATTTCCATTAAACAGTTCTTTTAAACAGATAAATTCCTAGCTTTTGTTTTCCAACAAAGTAATCTAAGAGCTCAGTTGATGAAATTAACAGTGCCAACAATTCAAAATAAAGTTATATACACTGCTGAATTGGGATGACTTTTGCATAACTGAGTTTTTCAAATCAAAGAGCTCACTTAAATCAGGGCCCAGTTTAATTCTTTGTTTACTCATCTTGAAGTAAGAACAAGTTTGACATCTAGGCCAAAGGAGAAAAAGAATCCCTATTGACCACAACACCAGAAACAGTTTGGATAAGTAAAATTCACAGCCCTACTAAAGAATCCTTTTAAGTCAGCAGTTCTCAAAAAGTTGGGTGCACTGCAATTAAAACTTTAAAAAAGTAAATTTCTGAGCCCCACCCTAGACACACAGACTCTAAAAGCTGCCATTGTATCTGAACTTCCCCACTTGACAGTGATCTTCCTAAAATGATAATTGTATTATATTACCTCTTTAAAATGTTAAAAAAATTTTTTTTAAAGTTAAGATTTTCATATGGTCCTTAGGATAATGCTCAAAGGTATTGTATAGCTAATGATTTATCTCTAGCACCTCATCCTCTCTCCATCCACTCCCTTTCCCCTCATGATTTTGATTCCCTTAACTCCAGGGCTTTGCAAATATTCTAATCAGTTCCCTATCCCATTACCTCAACCCAAACTCCTGTACCCACCTTTGGTATCTCAGCTAATGCATTACTTCCTTTGTGAACAATTCCCTGACACCATCCCCAAAGACTAGTATTTTCCCTAATCTACTACCTGAAAGAGAACGCTGTGCTGTAATTGCTTATTTACCTGCCTATTATATATTCCCAACACACAGCACATTGCTTGACACATATTAGGCACTCAAAAAGAAGAAAGATAAAGACTTCTGGATGATGATGCAGTAAGTAACACAAGTCTAAGATTTCCTCAAGGAACTCAAGATTCTAGAGGAACCCATGAGGTTTGTTATTTTGACCAAATGTAAATGCACAAACCCTTAATTATTAGCTTTACTAATAGTTCAGAAATATGCAGAGTTTATGGAAAGTTACAAGGCATAAAAAAACACAAAGTTATAAAGCTAAGGGCGCCTTATGAAGATAATTAAGCTTGAAGCACTTTTCTACACTCAGGCTTCCTTTCATTCCTGAGTAGTTTCTTTAATCAGTCATACATATCCATAATTGCTTAGGTTTCTTGGGTATTCAAATATAATCTCTACAAAACTAAAATCACTTCCTGCTGTTCTTCCTGTCTTTGGTTTCTGAGAAAAGCATCAGCCAAAAACAATCTGGCTATAAGGAAAAGCCACAAAATATCAGATCAAAAATCCTAGATTTAGGATAATTCAAACCCCACCTTGACCCAAAATGCCAAGCAAGTCTAACTCCTTCCTTATCCATTCCCCACTTCCACTGCATAACCCAACTTCGACAATTCCCACTTCAATTACAGTAACAGTTCCCTAATGGATCTCTACCTGCAATCAATTTCCTTCAAGTCACTCCTACACAAGGCTGAATACACTAAGTTTATTCTAAAACTTAAATCTGCTCATTTAAACTTCTGAATCACACTGCCTTCAAGATAAAACCCGAAGTCCCAGAATAAGAGATTTCAGAACAGGAGACATTATTTATATTGACTCTCACTTCTTAAGAAATCCTAAAGAATATTTCTTCACAACACATAAGATTTTATATGTAGAACCCTATGGAAGAGAATGACAATAATCATTACAAACATGATTTCAACACAGAATATAACACATATTGGTGATAACAGGATTCCATGGAGTTTCATCTCATTTATGAAGCTACTTACAGCAGAAAAGTCCAATTCTACACTGGTATAATCAAATTCTTCAGCAAACAGGAGGCCTAAGGTGAATAACATTTTAAATTCATTCCTTTATCCATCTGTTGAACATTTACTGAGCTCTTAGCACTTGCTAGGTATTGAAAATGCTATACACCAAGATTCAAAACAAATAGGAGTCTTACCTCCTGGGGCTTAAATTCTATTCGTAGTAGAACTATGTTGAACTTTATCTGGGCCCTGTGCTAGACAAAAGCAAGAAACACTGAAAAAATCTCCCAGTCCCTGCTTTGTCTTCTGACAAATGACTAACTGCAAAGGACCAACTTGCCCTCACAAAACGCAGTTAAGAGTCATTTCCATCCCTCCTCATGATTCCCTTGTTTACTTGTCCCTATAAAACCCCTTGGTTTTCTCCCTGAGATGTTTCTAATTAATGAACTTTCTCCATATTGTAATAACCTGAATTAAAATCATCTCAGTTGTCCTGTGCATTTCATTTTCCACACTGGAGACATTCAATCAACAATATAAACAGCGAGGTGTATTTGATGGTTTATTTCCTAGTATGGACAAAACAAAGGAGAGTAGCACAGAAAATGCTGGGTTGGAGAGGATTCATTTTTATTTTTTATTTTTTTCATTTTTAAAAACATAGGAAAAGCTTCATTAAAAAAATATATCTTATCATCTATTTTGAATAGGTAAGGAAATCATTATGCAGTTAACTGGGGGAAGAGCGTTTCTGA